CCCCCCCCCCCCCCCCCCCCCACGGGATTTACATTGATAGGTGCATTAAGTTAACATATAAATCACTTAGCCATGGACTGAAATCTCTTTCTAAACTAATTCTTTTTTCTTGGGTCTTACATCAAACCATGCTCTACAGTCCTTCCAATTTCCCAAAGAAATTTTCCCGAACTTGTTACTTTTGATCGCGTTATACTTAGAATTGTTAGTTGACATGGAAACAAGAACTTTATATTTCTCTGAGACATTATTGTTTTCTCCCCGGCTGTAATTCAGGTTAATTCTCCTCGTTTGGAAAAGATATTCGTTCCCAAGCTGCCGTCTAGACGGATTCATCTTCTGCAAATAGATGATAAGAGCAATAAGGTTTTTAGGAAACTGCCCAGCTACCTAAATCTAACCACTTACTTCTCACTTGGGGCAAAATGTTGGCTTAGGGGAGGGGTATTGGGTGGGCTGTTTCCCAGAAACCTAAGTTGATCCAGATAGTGTTGGATTCTGGAATCCATTGAATGGGATTCCGGTTCCCAGGTACTGGATTGAGGATTCTTTGTCACGTGGAACTTGGATTCCGGATAGGCCAATCATAAGTGGGATTCCGGATTCCTTGAGCTGTACTCCGGATTCCAAAGCCCAGGTTTCAGGATTCCTCGAGCTAAAACTTCCCCAATCCCGGATTCCACAGTCGAAGATTTCCCTGATTCCAAAGATCGGGCTCCCTTGCATGGGGCGAAAATGTATCACCATAAATTTCAAAGCATGCAGAAATTTTGATTCGGTCAGAAAAAAATCAAGGGATTGTGGGTTCTGTGGTTAATACATTGTATAGTGAAGCAACGCTATCCGCGAGGGAATGTTAACATGAAAAACGAGTTCGAATAAATTAACTGAATAAACATTTTCCATAAATCATTGGAATTTTAGACAGCGATACTTTATCACCCAAATCTCGTAATTATATTACTAAAAGTGCTGGGCTGGAACGCCTACCTTCACAACCATTTTGCCGTGTTTTACAGCTAGATAATAGTCTGTCTTGTCATAAAGTGAAAATGCTCTTCTGGTGACATTACCCTTAGGAACAAAATCTGAAAAAAAACAAAACAAAACAAACCAAAACTTTACATGTGAAATATTTGTGATTTTAATAAAGTTATTATGGTTCTTGCGGGTTTTTTAAAGAAAGTAACAACCGAAATTGCAGTCATTTGACTGAAAGGGGGCCAATTTATAAAGGGAAGTGTCTTACACAACACTAATAATGGAAAAGGAGAGAGAAAAAATAGGGAAAGCGAGGAGAGCGAAAAAAAAAAGGTTGAATGGAAAAAAAATTGATTCTTTGTTTTTATATTGGCTGCTGTTGAACTTTTTGAAGAAAGAGGTCTATTTTAGCAGTAACGTTTTGATTTATAATAATGATAATAATAATAATGACAATAATAATATTTATGATGATGATGGTAATTGTTACTATACATTGTTGTTATAACTTCAGTAGTGCGGAACTACAACTAAAGAACATTATCTTTAAATCCTTGAAGTATCCACACCCTAAGACCCTAAAAATACTGATTTCTGGATTAGCTATGCATTGACTTTCTCACTGTGACGTTAACATTTTCTTTCATCTTCAATTATCATCATTTTCATCGACGTTGGTCTTGTACACCACAGTTTTCTAACCTCTCTAGCGAAAGAAACCGGGCTTTCAGCGGAGGAAACAATACAATATATTTGGCTTGATAACTTACAAATGCCACAGTCGCTTGGATTTCCCGTAAAGGACAACTTAGTCGCGTTATTCTTCCATTCGACTTTGAGATATTTGTTCGTTTTAAAAGACTTAATGGTGTAAACGCCATCAGGATTGACTGGTTTGCAAGATAGACTATTACTTCCAGGCAAATGGAACTGCAGGATCAATCCAACCTTGGAAGGAGACAATAAATACATTTATTGTAATTCATTGTGCTTTATCTTCATTTTTTAAAGCCACAACTGTGCGATTAAAGGCTTCAGTCCCTTAAAAATTAAAATTCAAACATTTGAAGTCGTCTATGCCTTAGAGGAATTTTATTGTTCTTTTAGCCTAGGTCATGGCACTTTCCATTATTTTGTCTATTGTTTTCTTAAACTCTGATAAGCTCCCAACTATGAATTGGTGAGAGAAAGGCCTTTTATAAACACACAGTCATCGCCTTAAATAAATGATTCCCATGCATCATTTATAAGTCCCACCTTCAAGCAAGTGAGATAAAGAAGAGAGCACAACACCGCGATCGGCTTGGAATCCATAGCGTGACCATAAAGCCTTTCATCTGAAGATATATACACGCTCGATAGGACACGTCAACCTTATAATCGTAGCTACGACCGAACTCTTCACGACGCATTGAGAAGGTCATTGTTCGATTCGATAAAATACTTGTAATAAATAATCACAGTTCTTGATCAACCGCTGTCCACTCAGCTCTTATTGAAACCTTCGGCCAGTACTTTCCACGCAAGGTAGAGATATTCACGCGCACTCGCTCGCACTCATAGACGAGTAGGAGAGCACCATATCTATATCCCTGAGAAAAATTTGGCACTATCATGAGCTGTAGTCTAGTGTAGCCACTATTTATTGCTCGAGCAGCATCTTATCAGCAGCACCACGAGCTGACTCAGGCAGTAGGTGCTAATTTAACAAGAATAATGCAGGAGACGAAATTTGCGTTAAAAATCAAAGCTTGAAGTCGCGGGACATTTAAATTCTTTTTTGTTCGGGGGGGGGGTACTCCTCATTATGGCCCATACGAGGAGGTTCCTCCTAAAGGGGGGGGGGGTATCTTGATCTTTTTCATGCAGGCTTCAAGTATATGAAAGGGTAAGGTACGGATTTCACTTGTTGAAGAATATGAAAGGGTAGGAAAATCAGTCATCTCGTTCTTTAAAAAGGTCTAAAAGGGATAAGTGCATTTTAACATGGCTGTGAAAAAGTTCATGTTTTGTGATTTTTATTCATGTTTAAAAGACAGTGCATTTACAGCAGTTAAAAGGGATACTACCTACTAAACTAGGTATGTGAAAGGGCTTTCATTGCTGTAAAACTATGTTGATTGGGCTCCCCCCGGACTACAAAGGACTGCAAAGGACCGCAAACGAATATGCCGAAGAACGTAGGATCTATAAAGACCTGATCAGCAAAAATGAAAAGTAGACATATTTAATTCTGCAAGCAGAATACTGCAATGCTGATCGTACTACGTGAAAATTAACTCTGCAAGACATCAACACGACACCGAAAGAACTCAAAACAGAGCGGGATTGTAGCTATAGACAGCTGTATCGCCTTGTTTGGGGCTCGTCTGTATGGCGTAACAACACAGAGTTCTGTGTTGTTGGGACGTCGAGAAAACGTTTAGTCAAAAGGGATGCCAAGTACGTACTAAACTAGGCAGGTGAAATGGGTATCATTGTCAAAAGGTATATGAAAGGGGCACCGTTTCTGGCAACAATGGTATATAAAAGGGTAAGGGGTTGGACCTCGGAGCGGAGCCTTTCCGTAAACTATGTTGAGGGGGCTCCCCCCGGACTGAGCTGGATGGCAATCAAATACGCTACCGTGTCCAGCCAGTCCTAAAAACTTAGATATTCAATTCGTTAATTAAAGTTAGGGCTTAAATAGACCTATTAGAGTTACACTGATGCCTAAACCAATGATGTTTTCACTCACGTGATCTGCATCTATGCAAATTTATTGGAACAAAAGAAAACGTTTCATACGAAAAGAATTGAACTCCCAGAGGGGTGGACGGGGGTGGTCTAGGACACCAATATAGCCACCGTGACGTCATGGGGAGCACAAAAAGGCAGTCATGAGTTACGCATGAATATATTGTTTGTTTTAACCATGGATTTATTCGTAGCCTGCAGATAAACAACAGTTGTTATTTTGTTTAGTAATTTTTAGCTACGCAGTTATTTTACATACTACGAGTAAAAGTAATTTAACGCGCATGTAAATCAGCATATTGCATTAAAGTTTATGACTGTTATTTCTTAAATTCGATATAAACAGTCCATCGAGTTCTCAGGTCTCGAGTGACAAGTCCTACTTCAACGCAGGCGAAAAGAAACAAAATAAAAATAATTTTTTAAAAAAAGATATCTTCCTCTCTTTAACAATGAACTTTTTTTACTCATGTTATTCTACTGGGTGCAAAATATCTGAATTCGATTATTATGCATATAAAGATGACAGTCATTAGCAATCGATTCAATAATGGCCATATTCGATTTGATAAAAGATTTCTAATAAATGTTCTCAGTTCTTGTTAACCGCTGTCCACTCTTATTGCTGCATCTAACGATTTGTACCAGTTTCTTTGGAAATTCTTTAGTTCATGTAGTAACTTATTACAACATAACACACAAAGATAAGTTAAAAGGTCAGTTTAGAACAATTTCAATACGTATATCTCTTTCCAAAGGATGCTGAACTAAAACTGATCAATTTGTAAATTTTAACTTTATCAATTTTGTAGAAAGGCTTTATCATTTTATAGTAAATTTAAACTCTCTTTATGCCAAAACTGAGAACTGATTATTAGCAACAGAAACAACGTGCTCTTGTAAAACGTTGTCCTATCTCCTTGTTTTTATAGTTGTTACACAACCGCATACAATATTCAGGGCAAGTGTAAGAATAAACTATCGTTATATTTTAAAACTAAATAAACTCACATGGCTAACGAATCACCGACGTCGTGAAAAAGAGTTGATGATCATTTTTTTCCCTCTTTTTTTTGTTTTCGCATTGGTTTTGTCTTCGTGTTGGATCTGACTAAAACACAAATATTTTCTGGCATAACTTACCACCACAAAAAAGTACTTTGCAAGTGTTTTATCCATCTCGTCGATGTCGTTTCAGCGACTGTTGACAAGACAATGTTTGCAAGCTTTGAAATTGGTGAAGAATATAAAGGAACAGAATTCTTTAAAAGTCAAGATGACATTATGAGGTGTTTTCCCTATTCTTAATAATAGAACCTTAAAGGTTGCCCCGGCGCGCCCCTTGTTTCAAGACAGGATCGAAACTTGCTGTTTGAGAGAGGTGAGCTCCTTTCGAGAGGAAAATTTTCCGCTATATAGCTATTTCATCCAGAAGTTAGATGAAAGAATCAGAATAGAAAAGCTGCAAATAAAAAAGTTACGAGTGCAATGATGCAAAATCAAGAAAGACGACAACGAAGATTAAGTAATCTATCAACAGGGACAGGGAATACAAACAAAACGAGTTCAACTCAACGTGCAGAAATTTCCACAACAGCAGTTGGGTCAGCGAAGGCAACAAGCGATGTCACTTTTCACGGGCGCTGTGATTCACGGAGGACAATTCAGCAATTCAATAAACAGCTTGAATCAATTCCTTAAGTTAGCAGTCCAAGAAGCAAAAGTAGAATCTTCTCCAAAGAGGTACAAACGATTAAAAGTATTAGATTCTGACTTTGATTAGTTGAATTATATTTTAAGCTTACATAAACAATAAGCTCTTTTGAGGGCAGCACTGAAATATGGAATTCGGACGATGGAAACGGAATACGGAATACGAAATGCGGAATCAAATATCTTTGACAGAAAATTAAAGAATTTCACATTGCATAATTTAGTACAATCCAAAGAGAATTTGTTTTAGTTTTCTTAGCAGTTCCCTTAAATATATTCCCTTAAATATATCCTTGTTTGTGTTTTGATAAAGTTTGCCGTAGTGTGGGTTATTGCACTGCAAGGCTGACAAAAGTTATCTTACGAGTTATTTATGGGTTGAATAATACCGTTAAATATTACCTGTTTAGCTAAGTGTCAAGAGTAGTAGTAGTTTGCCTCAGACCACACAACATGATTGTCCCCAAACTGAATACTCAACACATGACTCGACATGACTGAGCCGTGTCGTGACCACAGTTCCAGTGTTTTAGCAATAAGTTCAACTTTTTCACCAAGCTGAATGCTGATGGTATACTGGTGAAACTGATTTTGCGTTGACGTCCGTATTTTTGTTGAAGAGGCTTATTAAACATGGCGCATTACTTTGATGTAATCAGTTGAGGAATCAAGCAAATGCATGCACAATTCTCTCTTCGCTTTGGACTCCACAATGCCATGGTTCTCTTGAACAAGTTGTCTTGATAAATAAAACTGAACACTGTTGAAGACAACCCAGAAAAGACACCCAGAAAAAACTTGACGACGACGCCTCTGTCGATTTGAACGAAGTCTGTCTCCATATAACTTAGTTATTATCAGTGACGTTTTTCTCCGCTCTTTGCTGTCCAATGAGAATTTGCATTGATTTCCCGGAAGTGGTATGAAGAGTCTTTTCACCGGAATCGACTCCGCTAGTCATACAGTAGTCTCCTCTACTAAGGTAATTTATTCATTTATGTCTTTTTTTAAAATCTGTTTATTTATTTTACTGCCATTGCTATTTTTTTTTTCAAATCGATCGCTTGGAACCTTCTTTCACGGATTCCGTATTCCGTTTCCGGGTACCGGATTCCATGTTTAACTGCTGCCGTGAAGAATCACTAACTCACTCGCGAGAGCCTCGCTCGTTCGTTTGAGATTCTTCATAACTCATGAATAAAAATAGTACGCACTCACCAACCATGAAGTAATCTCTGTAAAATTTGATAATTTTAAATTATCAACCCTTAGCTGTTCGACCAGGCTTGCCTTGAAGTTTAAGTGTTAAAATTTAATCTCGGATTAGCGATGGATCAACTGAGCCCCAGCCTACAAGTGATCTGGTGACATTCATCGTCTTGTCGATTAGAGGTATTTTAGCTGTTAAATATTCGTTACAGACTACCAAGGGTAAATTGGCCAAAAAATAATGTTACTCGGTAGGCTCTGAGTTGCTTTCAGTGGATGGAATGAGTATAATAGTGTTCCAGTGTTCAGACAGAGTCAAGTTAAGTTACTAATCAACCTGCGAAGAAAAAAGTTCGTCTTAGAAGTCAATTAGATATATTCAGACTAACTTCTTAATTGGTCAACCGTAAACAGGATGTTATTCATTTGCAGTCTTTGTAACGATTGACCCCTCTTCAGCGCAATGAAGGGCAAAGTTAATGGGAAGTGACGCCCATTGCGAGTGATAATTAGTGTACTTATCACGGGTGATACAGTAGTTAATCTAGTATACCGGCTACTAAGGCGGGTAAATTGGCCAACAAAATCATGTTGCTCGGTAGGCTTTGAGTTGCTTTCAGTGGATGGAATGAGTATAATAGTGTTCCAGTGAGCAGACAGTGACAAGTTTATTTTCTAATCAACCTGCGAAGATTATTGAAAAGTTCGTCTTCGAAGTCGATTAGATATAATCTGAGTACAATCTTGGACAGAGTAAAATGGAACAGCAACCCCCCCCCCCCCCCCCCCCCACAAATAAAGCAAAACTCAACGAAATAGCAACACCTCGCCTTTTATCTAATCATGGTTGGGGAGTGGAGGGTAACAAATTATTACATTTTTTCTCATAATGAGAGGACATTATATTATAGAAAAAGAAAATGTGGAGACAGTAGAACAAGGAGTAATTTCTATTAACATTAAAAAACGAGAAAATATGACAATAATTTGTCGTGAGAGGCATATAAAAAATATCCGCACACCATCGCGGGAGGAAAAAAAAGAAAACCCCCCCCCCCCCCCCCCCCACCCCAAATCAAGGATGAAGCCGCGCAAAAGCCAAAACGCGCCATTTTCCCATCCTTGATTTGGGGGGAGGGGGGTACAAATTTTCCATCTATTTTGTCCAAGATTGTAGCTTTTTAATTTGTCAGCCGTAAACAGGATGTTACTCAGTTGAAGTCTTTGTAACGTTTGACCCCTCTTCAGCGCAATGATGAGCAAGGTTAATGGAAAGCGACGCCCATCACGAGTGATAATTAATGTACTTATCACGGTTAATAAGCTTTGTAAATTGATCATGACAAACAACTTGCCAATTTTAGGATTAAGATTTTAGGTTTAGATTAGCAAAACAACAGTTTTGCACGTGCATCAAGCTTTTTGTACATTTCTTTGACGTCGTTGGGCGACCACGACGTGAAACTTCCTAATAATTTCACGTTCTGTGGGGGGCGCAAACAGAAGACAACGATTTTTTATTTCTTTTTTTAAACCTAGATAGAGTCCTTTAGTATGTAACTCTAAAAAAATTCACCAACATTTGACAAATTGAACGAGATGTGACATGGAAAAACAGCGTGGATTGACTTTTTTTAGAGACCCAATCCCCCGCGACGTCGAATTCTGAAATATTGATAAAAACAACACTTTATTTAATTTGGCAAAAAGTAAAGCGTCTAAAATATGTAAACTGATCACAAAAAAGTACAGACTCTGCGTTTGATGTCTTATGTGCTTAGATGAAGACAAATTGATATATTACCAAAATAAAAGTGAGTTAGAACACAAAGAAACTATCATTATGACTGTACTAAGAAAATTTCAGGCATGTACCAGATGCATGTACTGTTGTCAATAATATAAAGCATTTATACCTCGCTTAATTATCTTTTGGAATTAGTTGTTGCTCAGATCTAAACCTCTGAAAAGTTATTTTCCAATTAGTTGTCCTTCTTGTTCAATCAATAACGTTTTGCAAAGTCAAAAAGTTAGAATTAAATCGACCTGCCTTGTTTCCAATGAAAAGAAAAGTTTATCCATTTTCCTTTTGCCGGATGCAATGGCGAGGCAGAAAATCCACTAAACTAATCAGAGCGCAAAATGAAAACAATGGATCAAGATTGTACTTTCAAACCGAGTTAAACTGTTTGTTACAATAAAATCCATCATTGAATAATGAGTAAACCAGGACCTTGGTAAGAGTATTTTTGAATATTGGTCATCAGCTATAAACTGGAAAAAGTACAAAACAAAACGGCAAAACAAAAAGTACATGTCGCTAAAGCAAAAAATTCAATGTCGCTAAAGTAAAAATACAGAATATTTTTAAACAAAAATAGACCAAATCAGTAAGAAAGCATACACACCACCAAACATCATTCCAATAGGGTGCGATATTTCTGGTAAGCGACGTTAGCGCATGACAAAAGGGACCTCTGGGGACAAGGTTACGACATGGCCAGTACCTTACGCATGTGTACAGCCATATCATCAATGTCCGTGGCAGCCAATTGGCAGTCATGGACAGCTGTTTCGCCCTTATTTTGCTTATATTGCCTAGTTTGGTTATGTCGGCAGAGTGTGCTTTCTTGTGGAATTTGGTTTGCGGAATCTTTGCTTTAGTATTAACGGAAATTTTCACTGTACAATTGATATTTTGAACCAAGTACTGCAATCCCTCCAGGTCTTCCATTTATCTAAGGATACCCTCCCAGCCTTGCTGCTTTTGAGTACTCGAACAGGCTTGGAACGAGTCCTGACTATTTTGTAATTTTCTATGACATCGGCATTTCCCTGAGCATCACGGTATTGCAGAGTAACTGTACTTGACTGGAAAAAATGCTTGTCCTCAAATGACTCAAAGATTGATGAGTTCTGCAATCAAGAAGCGATGTATATTTGCCTAATTACACATGCTGAAGGAAAATCCATTCTTTGTTTAAATTGGTACTTAACCCTTAAGGATTAGTTTTTTATTAGGGTTTAAATCCTAATAATACAGGTGAACAAATCGATCTCCATTTTCAGATAGACCATAATAAACCTTGATTACCCCCTAAAATTTCGCCTAACCATTGTTTCCAATTTCTCCCGGGTATTACAGTCGTCCCAAGAGAAATCGAAAACCATGGTTATGCAATCTTCTTTTTGGGGGTGGGGGGTGGGGGGGGGAGGGTTGACAAGGTGCATTATGGTCAAGTCTATGTGAAAAAAGTGAATGGTCTTTACTCTTATTGATTGTAGAAATGACGTCTAAATGTTTAAAACTCAAGTGGAGCCACAAGTGGAGGAGGGCAGGTGGTTTCACTGCAATGTTTTGACCTTTTGATGGCGTTTCCATGGTCTTAGGAGTGCAGTTACCATGGCAATCCATATGTTCTGATGCGGTTAATCCTTCAAATCCCAATAGCGACTAATATTAATTTTCTTCTATAAATGTCAATACAGCATCAAGAAAAAAAGGGTCAAAAGTATATCTCCGCTAGGAAAGTGCATTGATCTAATTCTTTAAGAGAAAATGAACGGAAATAAATCTGGAGAATTTGTTTGTGAACATTGGAGTCAAGCGGGTTTCCATCGCTGACTCGGCCCAGGTTGCAGTTAGGACAAAAGATCTTTTTTCTGAAAATTTTTCCTCCAGCGACTAAGATAAAGGTGCAAATTTCGTAGAGTTAAACAAAAAAAATGTTGCAAGAATCGGTTTGTTCCACTACGTCCTTATGCAAGACAAAAGGGAGAAGTTATCTAGAAATAAAGGGCTAATGGATATTATTTGTAGACAATAATTAGACGTACCTTTACTACCAAACGTTTTCCCTCTACTGCCAGAAAAGAGTCTGGAAACGGAACAGGTTGAAGAGAAAACTGCATTGTTCCACTAACTGTGCCGACCGAGGTCCAGTTGCTTGTGTATATAAATCCTGTTAGGAAACCAGTTAAACAAGGCAATTTTAACAACTGTATACACACTGCACCCTCTGGGCGCTTATCAAATTTTCTGAGTCCAGAGGGGGATCTTATTTGAAGAGGGGTACTTATATTTTGTTTTTCATTTTATATTTTCGGCCTCAAAATAATATTGTCTTTATTTATAATACAGTCGACTCCTGTTAACTCGAACCTCCCGCTAACTCGAAGCAATTTTCTTTTCCCTTCAGATCATTTTCTATATAATTTTACCGCCGCCTGGTTAGCTCTGTTGGGAGAGCGCCGGTCTGCTGAGCGGGAGGTCGCGGGCTCAAACCCCGGCCGGACCAACACTAGGGTCTTTAAATAACTGCCTTTGTAATGACATCTGCAAATGATTAGACCTTTTAGTCTTTTCGGTGAGGACGAAAAACCGTAGGTCCCGTCTCACAGCACTTTCACTGTTCTGGTTCTTGTGGGATGTAAAAGAACCCACACCCTGTTCGAAAAGAGTAGGGGACGTAGACCCCGGTGGTGTGGCCAACCTTTACGGGTTGTGGGATTGGATAGGGACGGCGCTAGTTCGATAATTAACGGTAGACACAAAATGTTCTTACTTGCTGCACTTTCTTCTTTGTTGCCCGTGAAGGAAACTTTGAACCTCTGCGCATTTTCCATCCATTCGCTCTTAAGGAATCTTTTTGCTCCACTTTCTCTTTCGCATGCTTCAACAGTGACCTCGTACTTTTGTACATTATTCGAACTACACCATACGGGTTGCAAGACCAAGGTTGTGAATACCTGAAAATAGGTCAAGAGAGAAACTGTTGAATAAAAAATCAAACCACTACCCCTCTCAATTTCAGAAAGTACACTTTGCGCACGTGCGAAGCGTTGAGCCTAAAATGTAGCTACACCCTTGCTTTCGCACTCAACGCTGGAGACTTTATTGCCCAGACCTTCTCCTATGAAAGCTTGAAGCTAAGCTAGCATAAGTTCGGTTGAAAAAACAAATAGACAGTTGAACTTACTAAAGTAAGTTTTCCGGACGGCTTTGCAAAAAGAACCTCGCTAGAGGCTACGGAGAGAAAGGAGTGAAGCGAGCACAAACATGGATAACAAAGAAACTGGGAAAGAAAGCGGATGAACTTGGAGCTAAGAAGGTCAAAGTCAGAGTAGCCCAGCATATGTTCGCCTCATTGGCTCTCACATCCAACCGCCCGTCAGATTTGGGAGGTGGAAAAGGAGTTATCAGGTTTGACCCAGACGTTTTAGGATGGCTTATTAAAATTTGAGAATAGTGAAGGTATTTTTTTCTCAAATGACTTTACAAGTGGGATTAATCAACTATAGATATCGACTAAGATAAACCTGTCAGTGTGTTGAACAGATTTACATAAATGTTGCAAAAAACAAAAGAAACGGCATTAATCATCAATTATTGATTCTCTGTTAAACAAACTGTGAAATAGAAAAGACCCACACCGTAGATCTAATGATTTAGTAACTTAGTTCCATCTTTAAAGTCATTTCTCACGAGATGTCAGAAAAATTTTCACAGCCTCATTTGGTGATCTTATCAAAGTTTACCCTTAAAACTTTTTAGTTTAAAAAGCGCCTACGAATTACTCCTAGGTAAACAAACAGTCGGTTAGCGGAGGTCTTAGCTCGGTTGGCTAATACTGGAGCGTATAAACCCCGGGGCCCGTTAACATTCAACACGGACAAAGATTGTTTTAAGGTCACTATTACTAGTTCTGGATAGTCACTGAATCCACAATACCAATCAGACAACAAAACCTGATAAATTAAACCTAAATTAGCAAAATGAAAATTCGAGTTAAAAGGTGATTGGTTGACTTTAGCGGACAACAGTCAATTAGTGGCTAGTTTAAACGAGATTTAGGTTTGGT